GCTGGCGAATCGTTTCAAAAGCGTCGTCATCATAACGTCATCGTCATCATCATAACGTCATCGTCATCATCATAACGTCATCGTCATCATCATAACGTCATCGTCATCATCATAACGTCATCGTCATCATTACCATAGCATAATCACGTAATCTTCGTCAAGACGTCATTATTAACATTATTATTATTATTATCATCATAATCATCATCTCCTTATTCATCATCATCAACAACAACAACTGTAATCATCATCATCATCATCATCGTCATCATCATCATCATCTCCACCATTAAATTGTTCACCTGTTAGTTCTCAAACGACTAAACCACTTTCTCTATCTTATTGGAAGCGATTTAAACAACAAACTCACGATCTAAGTTAGCATGTGTCTGTCTGTCTGTCTGTCTGTATGTATGTATGTATGTATGTATGTATGTATGTATGTATGTATGTATGTATGTATGTTTGTGTGTTTGTGTGTGTTTGTGTGTTCATACTAGCGTACGAACAATGTATACAAACATATACAAACAAACAAAAGTGATACAAACATCATAAGCAACGATATACTACTTTAAAATACCCATCCATCCATCTAATACAAATTTTTAAATAATTGTTGATACTTTTAAGAATATACAAAAATAAACACCCAAGCACCAACACACGTATACACGCACATACATACAATACAAAACATGCATACAAACAAGTAAACAATAACAAAATAAACAAACACACATTAGCATTCAAACAAACATGAAAACGTACGCACATACATACATACAAACATAGAAACAAACATACTTGCAAACATATACGCGCAAACATACTTGCAAACAAAGATGCAAACATACATACAAATAAACATAGAAGAAAAAAATCCTACATGAATACAAATATAATTTTATTAAGAGTTTAATCAATGAAAGGACTATTATAATATTAAGTGTACGTACGTGATGATGGTATGACATATGTCATAAGGTATTGATGATTCCCATCTGTTTATTTGTATTTGTATGTATGTGCGTATGTATATGTTTGTATGTGTATGTATGTATGTTTGTATGTATATGGTTTTAGATACGCATGTTTTGTGTTTGTATGGATGTATGTATTTGTTGGTGTGTGTATGCGTGCATGTGTTTATGCATGTATAAGTCTTTGTGTTTGTGTGTGTGTGTGTAGTATGTGTATGCGTGTGGGTATGTTTGTGTGTATGTGTATTCTTTTTGCAATACCTGCCATATATCTTTTGATGATTATACGTATAAACGAATTTATGTACCTCTTAAAAGAGACAAACAGATCAATTAGATGTCTTTTGATGTTTGTATGTATGTATGTATGTTTGTATGTATGTATTTGCGTATGTATGTGTAGTTGTTTATGTATATTTGTGTGTATATGTGTTTGTATGTGCGTGTGTTTATTTGTTTGCATGTATGTGCGCATGGAAGTTAGTTTGTATCATCTGAGCTTGTTTATTTGTCTATTGTATGTCTGTTTGTATGTTTGTTTGTATGTTTGTATATTTATCCGCATATGTTTTTGTATTTTTTTATTAACTGTTTTGTTTGTTAGGTTGTTAAATGTTTGTATGTTTGTTTTTACTTTTTATGAATTCGCAAAGACAATTCAAATCTACTGACTACTAAAATTTCAACTATTTTCATTTTCTCTCATTCAGAGATATAATAATGATAATAATTTTCATGAAGGGTGAGGTTGAACGGGAGCCCATCGGGACTGCCATACCCCCCTCCCGTCCTCGCAAACATGCACATACATACACACATACATACGCATTCACATACGAACATACACACACACATACATACATACACATGCAAACAAACATGTATACACATAAAAACAAACGCTGTATAAATTGAATGACATCTTTCGAATGAGAAATGAAATTAATTTATCCGTCAATTGGTTTTGTTTAAAAAATTGTTATTGTATCGCTTAGTGAAATGTTTTGTATGCGAAAATCATTATCATAATTATCATCGTCATCATCATCTTCATCATCATCGTCTTCTTCATCATCATTGTCGTCGTCGTCATCGTATTTATGATTGATCAAATGAGTCATCAAAATCTGTTACCTTAATTCAGTTTTTCAGTTATGTACACACACATATACACAGACACACACGCACACAGACACACACGCACACAGACGAGACACACACACACACACGTGTGTGTATTCGATACATACATATTAATTTTTTTTATTTAAACTAGTCCGCTATTAAAAGTTGCATTTTAAACTTACATTAATATTTCTCACGATATTTGAGTGAATGAATGAATGAATGAATGAATGAACGAATGAAAGAACAAATGAAAATTTGTCAATATAAAAATATAATTTAAATGATTGCCAATGAACTCAAACATAAAATATCTGATACCGTCAGTTGTTGTTCAATAGCCAAGGTGACTGACTTAAGGTAGAAAGAATTGTAATAAAAATATGTGCCATTGAAAGAAAATTAGAAAAAGAAAAAAAGAGAGAGAGAGAAAAAGAGAGAGAGAGAGAAAAAGAGAGAGAAAGAGAAATACAGAGACAAAGAGATCCTAGATAAATATAATATTGAAATTGAAGAGAAAAATAGAGAAAAAATAGAGAAAGAGAGAGAGAGAGGAAGAAGGAATAGAGAAAGAATAAAGAGAGATAGAGAGAGAAAGAGAGTGAAATAATGCCAGAAAAAGATCAAGAGAGTACGTGAAAAGAGAACAAGAGAGAGAGAACGAGAAAGAAAATGAAACAAGAGAATGTCAAAGAAAGAGAGATTGACGAAGAGAAAGAGAGAAAGAGAGAGAGAGAGAGAGAGAGAGATGGACAGAAAGAGAGAGAGAGAGATGGACAGAAAGAGAGAGAGAGAGAGACGATACAAAAAATTAAACAAACTCACAATCAAAAACATTAAAAATACCTACACATGTACAACATAAACCCAAACACAACACACACACACACACACACACACACACACACACACACACACATATACAAATATACATACAAAAATACGCATACACAGACATACACAGACATATACGCGCACCGTTAACATTGTAATAGCAGGTTCTTTTCTCATCAGCATGTTGCTCTCGAGTTAAGACAGACTGATTCAGTCACGATCATCTATATTTATTTTTAACACTCTCTCTCCAGCTTTTTCTCTCTTTTTCTTTTTCTTTGTTCTTTTCTCTCTATTTCGTTTTTATCTTGTTCTATCACTCCGTCTGTTTGTCTGTCAGTCAGTCTGCCTGTCTTTCTCTCTGTCTTCCTTCCTCTCTCTCTCTCTTTCTCTCTCTTTCTTTCTGTCTTTTTTTTCTCTCTCTCTCTTTCTCTCTCTCTCTCTCGCCATCTCTTTATATATAGTTTGAATCTGTTTTAATTACAAATGTAGCTACGTGAGGCAGCAGTTTTATTTGCTAGCTATCCAGAGTGACGACGATGTGTACCTATTTATTTGCTATCGATCCAATTATGTGTTTGCCTGATTGGCCATTGTAATATCTCGATATTTTGAAATTTTTTTAGACAAAAGATATTAAATGAATAAATTAATTTATCGTGAATTTAATTAGTTAAATATTAATTATCAAGAAATTGAGTTAATATTTTTCCATTGATATATTTGCGATATTTTATTAGTTTCAAAATTAATATAAAATAGAATTTGTTGGTGTAGTTGTATCTGTAGCACACAAAATTAATTTATTTTTAAAAAGCAGACGATGACGTTATTAACCCGGAACCTTACAGTCTCTCGTCAACTCATTTTTCACTTCCGTCGTTTTTTCTTTCTCTTCATCTTCTTTTTACTCATCTTCATCGTGCAACCCTCTTCCGGTCAACGGACTTACAAAAATAACTGCCAATGCGAATACGTGACAGACAGCAAGTGCGCCTACACGCTCCTCCTACCACTTGATTCCAGCCAATCAGGAACGAGCAGGACCCCGATCACGTGTCCACCTCCGCCAATCAACAGCGGCTGGGCGGATCTTGATGGGCGTTTAAACCAATTGAGGCAAAAGTTGACCGACTTGACGGTTTGGATGGCTAACAGCAATTCTTCAAACAACAACAACAATAATAATAATAACACCTACACAACAAATAACAATAGCAACACGACAACAAGTCTGCCAACAACATCTGAAGAAAAGATCTTAAATATGACGAGGACTCTGGAGCAGGAAATAAATGATTTAAAATCAAACATGACCCAATTAGGTCAGCTCTTGCAACTTTTAAATGGGTCATTTGCTAACATGTTGACCAACTTTCTTAACAACAGCAATAGTAATAATAATAATAATAATATTAACAACAACAATAATAATAATAGCAGTTATTTCAGCTACTTTGAAGCTTCTATTGTACGTTTTAATTGAGTATGTTGGTGTTGGGGATGATTGTGTTGATAGTAATTGATTGATGACGTCACAAATGTACCAAAACAACAACAACAACAGCAACAAAATTTCAAAACAAACACCATTGCAGAGTTCTATGCTCTATACGGTATCTGCACTTGACGAGAAAACAAAGAACTTAGAAGCGGCCATCAACAAAATAACAACAACGATCAATAACAACAACAACAACCCAACCAAAACATGTATTCGCCCATCCCTGGTTCTGACCGGAAGTGCCCCGGTTGATAGCGTAAAAGTGAACGCCACTAGTTACTTCGGTGATACGCCATTTTCAATCCGGATGTTGTTCGTCAATGATAGTGATAGCTTTTGGTGTCCGAGTAAGTGGTGTTGATTTGTGTGTGCGTGTGCGTGCGTGTGTGTTTGTGTGTGTTTGTTTGTGTGTGTGTGTGTGATGCAGGTTTTGGTGTAGAAATGTAATAAATTTATGTTTGCGTGCGAAATTGTTCTGGCGCATATGATGTGTTGATGGGTAAATGTAATGTCGTGACACACGAACACACGCACGCACAAACAAACACACGCACACACAAACAAACACACACACACAAACACTATTACATATATTCATGCAGACACTATATAACTTGTGTCCATTCACAAATTTATTAAGACGAGCCAAATCGGGTAGACGAGTCCATTCAATTTGACCTGGGAAGGTCCATTTCTGTGCTGGGGGTGGTTCTCAGGGGCAGGTCCAATTTCAATCAGTGGGTGTCCAGCTATCGGGTAGAATACGTAGATGACGTCACTAAGCAATGGGTGCAACTAAAGGATGAATTTAACATCGATGTGCAGGTTTTTATTTCAGTTTGTATTTTATTTCATTTTTCTTGTTATTATTAAGTTATTTTTTGTAATATATTAGAAAAATTTATTAAATAACAAATTACTTTTTCCAACATCACATTTTACACACACACACACACACACACACACACACACACACACACACACACACACCACACAAACACAGTTTGAAGGAAACAGAGATAGAAACACGATGAAAATAAACTATTTCTCCCAGCCAATCAGAACGCAGCATTTCAAATTTTACCCTCTGACCTCCGCCATGAACCCTGACGGAGCAACCTTCTCAAACAAGTGCACCAGGCTTGACATCATTTACTGCCCTGAATAATAATTACATATTTTTGCCTTTTTAAAAAAATAATTAAATTCAAAATTAACTTTTTTATATAAAAACTTTGATAACTCTTTACTGAATTATTATTTTTCGAATGAATTTTGTTCTAAAATATATCATTAAATGTAATTACATATTATAATTTAATTATTTATAAATATATATGTAAAATTTTTGTTGTAATTCACAAATACACTTACTTAGTAATAAATTTGTAGTATTAGAGCTAAAAAGCTTAGAGTTCAGATACTCACCTATGTATCTTATGTTATGTTATAGACGATAGTGATGTGGTAAAAACGTTTTAAAACGAATGATTTTTCCTGATTTTAATTAAATCAAAATAAATCAATTTTGCAATTGTTGTTAAATAAATGTAGAAAGAAATTTCGTTTCGAATAGGTGTAAAATGTCATGGAAAGTTTCTTCCCTCAACGATTCATTCGCACGCGCACACACACACACACACACACACACACAGACACATACATACACACACACACGGACACGCACGCACACACACGGACACGCACGCACACACACGGACACGCACGCACACACACAACAAGGTGAATGAAAAAAAAATAGATTGATAACGATAAAATCATTCCCTTTAAAAATATAAATTAAAGTGACAGAAAGTTAATTACAAAGAGATTGAAGTGACTCGGATGAAAACAAATTGGATTAGATGGATAGCTTGAATTGAAGTTTTAATTAATTTTGATTTATTAGCATGCACTCAAACTATATCACAGTCACTCACTATCAATCTCTCTCTTTCTCCTCCCTCTCTCTCTCCTTCATTCTTTCATTTTCTTTTCTCGGTTCTTCCACTCTTTCTATCTTTCTTTCTTTTCTCCCAATCTCTCTCTCGCTTTCTCTTTTCCTCTCCATTTGTTTAAAAATGAAGCAGAAAGTTGAGAGAAGTTTTAAAAATCGGACGTAGTTTAGTTTAGTCAAACAAACAACAAAATCAAAATAATATTACCACTATAAAATAGAAATATATGGAGTACACACGCACGCACGCACACACACTCGCATACACACAAGCACACGCATACACACAAGCACACGCACACACACATACACGCACGCACATACACGAACGCACACATTATTCTACATTAATAACTTTGTATCATCCTGAAATTGTTATGTGGGAGGTATCGTAAACAATGAAACGACATGAACGAAGTTCTAATTAATCACACGATTTAATTATATCATCACCGACACCACCATTATCATTATCTACATATATCATATCATATCTTATCATATATCATAGTATATCATACCACCCTAATCATTATCAGTAATAATTATGTCATGTGTTGTAAAATCTGCTCTGATCACAAAAAAACCCAATATAAATCACGATTCTCATCACAATCACCACCACCACCACCACCACCACCACCACCATCATCATCATCGGTAACAGATCATCATCAGCATCACCACCACATCATCATCATCATTGTCGTCATCATTATAATGTCTTCTTAATAACCACACAAACAATTTCTTTAAATCTCCCATCCCCATCTGGATTTTCAGCAAAGATGAGCTTAACATTATTATTATTCATCGGTATAACTGTTTCTCTATTCTTTGGTAGACGATAAATGAGTAGATTATTATTATTATTATTATAATTAATAGTAGCAGAAGCGTTAGTAACATTACTACCAAAGAAGTTGTGGGTGTTGATCATATCATTGCTAATAACTGTATCAGCAGTAATAATATTATTACATCTATAATTATTATAACTATAATAATAATAATCATTATTAACATCGGTAGTAGTAGTAGTAGTAGTAGTAGTAGTAGTAGTAGTAGTAGTAGTAGTAGTAGTAGTAGCAGTGAATGCAGTGTTTTTGTTATCAGAGCGAGTCCTACTGCTTTTAAACGAGTTAAAATTTGCATTATTGAAAAAGGTATCCAACGACAATGACGATGCGATATTACTACTAATACTACAACTACTACTACTACTGCCGCTACTACTACTACTACAAGTAATACTACTATCATTGTCACCGGAAGTAATAGTAGTAGTAGTTCCATTTAATTCAGTGGCCAAAAAAGATTTAGCAATGTTTGTAAACTCTATGTTGTTGTTGTTGTTCTTCTTCTTCTTCTTCTTACTATTAGTAGTAATATTTTTATTGTAAATAAAATTACTACTACTACTAGAACAACTGCTGCCGCTGCTGCTACTGCCATTGTTACTGCAAAGCTTCATCTGCTTAGTACTACTATTATGATTAAATAACGATGTTGAAAATTGTTGCTGAGCTGATAGTTGCGATGACGTCAGTGCTGCTGATGATGATGGCGATGATGATGATAGTACTAGACGTGATAATGATGATGATGATGGTGTTGATGATAATAGTAGTCGCGACGATGATGATAATGATGACGAAGGCGACGACCATGATGATGATGATGATGACGTTTCCAGAGTCGGTGGCTTTTGTTGTAGCAGTAGTGGCTGTGGCGAGTCGCTGGGCGTTTCGACGACTGCGTGGATTGCAATGCTGGCGTTTGGATAATAATAATAATAATATTAATGGGAACTCTTTTTATTATCATCAAACCTCGAAATATAAAATCATTATCATAAATACACAAAATGTTCATAATAATAATAATAATAATAATAATAATAATAACGATAAAAATAAAATAATTAATAAGCAATTTAACTACTCTTCATCTGTAACAGTTTTTAAATTCAGCCAACATATACTACTGATAAATTTGAGAGAACACGTGTCTCCGTGTATTCTAATCATTTGAACCTAATGTTTCAATCAAATAACGAAACATTTGACAGAATGCTAAAACGAACTTGTTGTTCTTCACCAGATGGAGGTTTGATTGACAGCATGTGAGGATGATGTGGCCGAATATTTTCTTGCGGAAGATGGCAATGCTGCTGCTGGAGAGCTGCAGCTGCGGTTCGCGTTTAAGATGTTTGCCGGCAAGTTGTCCTCATCATCATCGTCGTCATCATCGTCGTCGTCATCATCATCATCAACGTCATCATCATCATCACCACCATCATCAACGTCATCGTCACCATCATCATCATCACCACCACCATCACTACCACCACATCATCATCATCATCCTAACTTACGACGATGTTATCATTCTGAGCCATCGCTTTAACATCATCATCGTCGTCATCATCATCATCACTCCCGGCCGTCAGGTAAACGAGTTGTAACTCCTTCACTGGTACACTGCGAAAGCACTGATGGTTCAACAAAATTCTGATCTCGTATTGGCTGACCGCGTTTGTCGCTTGGTCGACTGAGTGATCTGATTGGTTGGTTAGTTGACTGAATGATCTGATTGGTTGGTTAGTTGACTGAATGATTTGGTTAGTTGGTTGACTGAAAGATTTAGCCAGTTGGTTGACTGGTTAGTTGATTAAATGATTTGATTAGCTGGTAAAAACGATATTTGACTGGGTGGTCGGTTGAAAATTTGATTGGTTGGTTAAAAAGTTGATTTGATTGATTGATTGAATGTTTGATTGATTGATTAATAGATTGACCTCATTTTAAAACAAACTGACCTTATTTTACAATAATAACAACAACCTGACCTACTTTCGTAATAATTACAAAAATTATTAAATTATTGATCCAACCTCGTAGATCAATAATCACCATCATCATCATCATATTACTATCATTGTTATTATATTTTTATTATTATTATTATTACTTTTATTAGCGTTTGACATGTTCCTTTCTTTTTTGAACGGTTTCTTATTCCTAAGTTTACTGCTGTTGTTGTCTGCAATAATAATAATAATAATAATAACAATAATAATAATAATAATAATAATAATAATAATAATAATAATAACTATAGCAAAAATAATACTATTGTTGTTTTTAAATAACAATAATAACAGAAATAATTATCTATAATGATAATAATAATAACAATGATGATAATGAAATAAATTATAATATACAATGAACATCTTTTTTTCTCCTTTTCCACCTCATCATTATCATCATCATCGTCATCATCATCATGACTCATACTCACTAAATTCATCGACCACAGTAGGAATGAGACTTGAAACCTTGATAGTGATGATGATGATGATGATGATGACGACGACGACGATGATGATGATGATGACGATTATAACGATGATGATGATGATGACGATGATAACGATGATAATGATAACTCGGTTTCTTCTTAGAAGTATCTATCTCACAACTTCACACATCACACACATTGCATGTGATGAGCGGGGATTTCTTGGCATTTGAAGCCAGCCAATACAACATCAAGAGCAGGCGCCTTAACCACTACGCTACCATTTCGCCGTCTAGAATTAGCAGCACTATTACTACTACTTTAACTATGATGGTAATGATAGGAAGCGGATATCTCAACTTAATTTTCATACATAATCTGCAGAACTCTTCATACTGACATTAAGATCGTTACTAGTACTTCCAACTCGACCACCACCATCATAATCATCATCAACGTCGTTGACGTCATCACCATCTTCGTCACCACCATCACCACTATCGTTGGCTTCATCATCTTTGTCATCGTTATCGTTATTAAATCTCTGCTGCTGCTTTCTTGTACATGGTTCTCGTTTTATTCTGCCATCTGTTTATTCATTCATTAATTAATTCATTCGTTCGTTCGTTCATTCATTAATTCATTTATCAATTCATTTATTCATTCATTTGAAGCGCTGCAATCAAATGTGGCCAGAGAGCCATGCACATTATTTATTATTATTATTGTTGCAATACTATTACTACTGCTACTACTACTACTACTAATAATAATAATAGAAATAATATGAATAATAACAACAACAATAATAATAATAATAATAACCATCTTTGATCTTCCTATCGAGGAGTTTATAGACTCTGTATGGATTGGCATCTCCCGGCTTCGATTCCTCCTTCAGCTCTTCAATGTCCTCTGATTTGGTGAAGGCAC